GGACGTCCCCGCCGTGCGCCCCCGGGGGGGGGGGGGGGGGGGGGGGGGGAACCTGCTCCCCTCGGGGGAGCGTCGCAGGGTTGCTCTTCGCAAGGCAAATTTCACGTGTTGGCGGGGGAAGCAGCACTGGAGTTTTTAAATTTTTTTTTTGAACAAAAAAAGGGGCTGTCAGCAGAAGCACTGACTGTGTAAAATCGTTTTGTCTTTCGTATAACCTGCATGGAAGAAGCCTTCCTTGAAGGAGCAAGGTATGTTACTTCATGGCACATCTCGCCTTGTTCGAAAAGGTGACGCTACAGAGCAGGTCGGCTGCTGGGCATCCACTTAGCTTATGTACAGTTCACATTCCAGTAAAGGCAGTATCTCTCCACACTTAATACCCTTGGAAGTATTTCTGTGCAAGCTGCTATGCTGTCCATGACACGTCTTCCCGAGCTCAGGAGTCCTGCAAGAAGGTATTCAGTAACTTTATGCAGAGCACACATCAGGGGGTTTGGATGTTCGCCACCTTGATTTTGTTTTATTTAACTTCACCTCAGGTGAGCACTCGACCTGAAAATATCTGGAGTATATACAGTAAGGTACCTTTTCATCCTCTTTACGTTGAAGTAATCCTGTTCTCTTTAGCTAGAGCATTCCATTTCCTGAGGAAAAAATTTATCCCTTGGATAAAGTATGTGAAATCCACTCCTTTCATCATAAGTAGTAGGGAGGGCTTTTTAAAATGTGTTTTGGTATATCAACAATTTAGTTTATTTGAAATACTGTAAGAGGTATTTCAAATGCTTGACACGCAGATTACCAATCCAAAGGAAGGCGCTATTGCCTCATTTTTCTCAGTTGAGCAGCTTAGTCCCTGAACTTTGAAAACTCCCAGAACATTTGAAGAATGCGGCAGAAAGGGTTAGTTTTAGATTGGTCGTAACCTGTTCATTTGTCACGTAAGGATACATGCGTTAATTGCAGGGTTGTGTAGGTTTTTCTTCACTCTTAAATAAACAGAAATTGGCATGTGAAAATGAGGTTAATCTGTCCTGCGTGAAATAAAACTTAAGCTAACATAGTGCGCTGCTGTGGTGCTGTAAGTCAAGCACAGGAGGTTTTTGAGTGGCTTTTAAAAACTAACTTTTCTAGAGACCCACCCCTAAAACCCACAGATGCTCCAATTTAACCTGGTTTAGGGTTGTATGGAAAACGGACTTAATCAGACAACATTTGGCTACCTCTCAGTGCTTTCTAATTATTCCAGTAGTTTGAATGCTGTCCACTGCTTTAAAGTTGGTACGTTTTCAAGTGGAGCTGGAAAACATACTGTTTCTTGGAATAATTATGCCATAAACCTTTATAATTCATTGGTTTGTCCTTAGACTGAACTGAAGAACTAAAGCTGTGATGGTTCTGCCAAATATATTATCTTGAATGTGGTTTTTCTGACATTATTTAGTCTTTTTTTTCTTTTTTTATTTTGGGAGAGTTGACATCTCTCTAGGTAGTACTACTGTCTGGTGCCACGAGATATCTATAAATGGTTTTGGCCAAGTTACACCTAAACTAAGTATGTTTTGGACTGCTGCCATGTTAATGAAGGCCATGTATTACAGGGGAGTATTAGAAATTAAGTTTTGAACTGCAGGCCCTGGAATTGCTGATGCAGTGGTGGCTTATTGAGATGTTCCCTGCACACGTGCTTTTGTAGTGTCAGTGCTTCCTGCTTGTGGTGTTCACCATCTCCTGCTCCATGAAGTGGTACCTTGTGTAAGAGTAGGTGGACCACCAACTTTCAAAATACCTTCTTCCACTTTCTTCCTAATAAGCTGCAACTGCTCTGTCATCTTCAGCTCTCAAAACTCTTTAGGCTTCCCCCCATTTCGGTGTTTTAAGTGCTTTACTTCACATGTGAGCAGCAGAGATCGGATTTCTGTTTTTAAAAAAAATTCTCAGTGGCTGACCTACTCAAGTAAGAACATCATGGAAAAAGATGTACCCTGTTCTTTTACAAATAACTCGTTTTAACCATCTCTACTAATTGAAACACTGTGCTTTGTCAGGCAAAGTTGAAGGATTTCTAAGTAAGCTTGAGTTTCCATAAATCTGAAAAAAAAATAATCATAAGGAAACAGATACTTTATATAGTTCAGCTCTCCTATCCTGTCCTGTCCTATCCATGAAAACACGGTGCTCTTATATTTAAGACCCTGATCCACAGTTGAATCCCACGTGGATCTCTACTGCAGTTGGCAATCTGTCTATGTACTAGTCTAATGCACGGTAGAGAGGTTTGATTGATTTTTTTTTTTTTAATTTGTTAACTTGTTTTTTAGTTCTTGGATTGTTTTTTCAAATCATCTCCAACATTAATAGGTGTCTGGATTTTCCACTGGCATTTCTTTCATGCAAAAATTTCTGACAAAATGCCCCACTAATAATGCTGATAAAGGGTGGTCAGTAAAGAAATACATGTGAAAAAATAATTGGAAGAACCTTCACTGCTTCTAGCTTTCTTCTTGACACTGGAAATAACAGTGGACCTCAGTGGAAATTCTGGTGTACCTTTGGGTTGTTCCAAGGGAAGCTGGACATAACTAACTGAAATGGATGGTGAACAGATTTTTAGTTAAAAGATTTATGCAAGGGAAGAGAATAAAATCTGTTCTTATTTGTGGTTTTGCTTTGCAGTGGGAGTGTGTGGGGTAATTAGTAAAACTACATAAAGAGATCGAAAAGTACCGGAAAACACATAAACTGTACTTGCATCTCCACTGGCTGTGTGGCCCTTGTCTTTGCATGTCAGACAGCAGTTTCAAGATGGCTTAGTTGGCATTGCTGCCAAAAATTTAACTATTCGAGTCTTTTCTCATATATTGTCTTAAAACCTGGTTGATTTACTTGGTTGTGCTTTGCAACTGTGATGGTTTCTCAGCACCTATGTTTTCATAATATTTTATAAACACACTTCTTTCCCAGGAAAGATGAAGCCTAAACAAATGGTTGCAAAAAACCCAACGTGATCTCTTTTCTCAAGAGACTGCTTTTGATGTAAAAGTATCTGTGTAGCATTTTGGTATTTATTGGCCTAAAACAAAAGAGTTTTCCTTGCAGAAAGTGGTGTCTGTGTTAAATACAGAGGAAAAGAAAGTCCTGCTTCGAAGAACCAAAGTATTCATCCTGCACTGTTAAACTTTTAAATCTTAGTTGTGGTGAAAACTCCCAAATCCTGATTGTCATTATATCTCTGGGCCTGAGTAAAAATTATTTACGTTCACTGTGTGATGTCTGTTGTATGACAGATTAGCTACACCACATGGAGCTTGCACAGAGCTGATTGCTCACATTTTATCAGTCTCCTTCGGCTTCTTCTGGCTGCTCATCAGTGCAAATATATCTGTTGTATAGAGGAAGCATTAGCTTGTATGTATTTTTTTTTTTTAAATTGGAGAGAATGCTTTACTGTGACATAACAAATGTAAGGAGACCTACTAAAGTCCAATTTAAAAACTAATCAGTAGCATTAGGGATAATTTTTTTTCTTCTGAAGTCCTTGAACAGTTTTTTCTTTTGTGTGTGTGTGTGATTAGTTATGTGGGATTAACCCAGTGAGAATAAATGTAGTGGCTTCTTCTGCCGCCTTTGTTTTATTTTAACATGCTCAAGAGCCAGTTTTATTCCTTCTCCCCTTCCCAGTGATGTGCTGCATTCACCCGTGTTTGGTTAGGAGAGATGAAGGGAAATCTCTCCTTGAAGTGGTTGGTAGCACGTGCAAAGCAAGAGGGTGAAGACTTAAGAATTGCCTGATCATAGGAGAACCTCTGGTACCGACACCAGGACTTGGGCAGAGCACTTAGCTTCAAGTCCTGGTTGCTTCCCTCTGCCCAGTGGGGTAGCACTTTCTTTCTAAGAGGCATTGTGAACACTTGGTATTTGCAAGACTCTTCTGAATAGCTTTTGAGAAAAAACAAACTGATCATTCTTGATCATGCATTTCCATTTTGTGGATGAAGTGTTCTGATCATGTTAATCTTTACCTCTGCCTCTGGGACATGAACTCTGTGAAAAACTTAAATGTGGTTTTTTTCCCTCGTGGTTGTGGTCGCTAGGCTAGCAAAATGGCCTCCACCAAATGTTTCCAAGTGACTCATAGCAACTTCATTACCTTGTACATGGAGGTACAAGATGAGTTTCTAGGTTGCTGTGCACTTCAGTGTCTTCATTTTGTGTCTTAGGCTGACGGGGTCTCAAACTTACAGAAGTTTTTTTCCCCTTCTGCTTTAACACTGAGAGTAGCTGGTCAGACTAATTAATTTCACGTTTTCTCTTTTTTGATTTTTCCAGGATGGCCCCCAGAGGAAAAAACGGAAGTCTGACGCTACAGAAGTGGACAAGCAGTTAGATATCCTGGCTATTGGTACAGCAGTTGGTAGCATTTTGTTGTACAGCACAGTAAAAGGAGAACTACAGAGCAAGCTAGTAAGTAAGATATTCTTCATCACATGCTACCAAATACTGATGGTTTCAGTCAGTTTATGCTGTTCTTTTTGCTGCTCAAAAATGGAATAAACTAACCTAATTATTCAGATCTTTTTTCTTTTCTTACTAGCCGCGTATATGAATAGAGGTGCAGTAATTCAGGTGCTTGGGAATCTTCAGGTGGTGCTTTTTCTATTATTGGCAGTATGTACACGTTGAGAAATCTTGGTTTCAAAGTTAATGCAATATCTTAACATTGTGCATGAATTTGTTATTTTGCATTAAAAATAACACTAATGATGAAATGCCAGATGGGAGAGTTAAGTCCTCTGTGGGAGTCTTGCACCCTCAGTTCCTGCACAGTATTGTGGGAGAGGAGGGCAGGATTGAAGTACTCATAGCCTCTTGGGAAGGTGTCACGTTGATGGACTCGTCAGTACAGATGTAAATTTACCTCCCTTGTGGAAGCTTTTGAGCCCTCTCACCACATGATCTTTCTCGAATGAGATTCACTGATTTTCAGAGTTTGCCCTTCTCATTGATAACTTCCCTGTTACTCCTAAGTACCTTGATTTTAGTCTTGGGTTATGTAACAAGCAAAATAAATCTGTATGAATGACTCTATACAATACTTGGAGATACTTGGGCATACTTTTGCTTCTAAACTCTTAGTTGTGTGTAGGTGATCAATGTACATGAATTAAGAGAAAGCAATGACTTCTTAAAATGATGATACATGCAAGTGACACTAGCTAACAAATATCAACTCTGTTTTATGGAAAAGCTGTATTTATGCCTGAAAACTATGAACAAAATAAAAGAGTTTCAGGTTAAAATTGACGGTTTCAGTCTGTTTGAAAACACTGGCTGCCCTTCTGTAGGAGCAGGATAGCAGATGTTATTTGGCGAGTACTGTTTTTTTTTACAGATAGGTTGAATTAAAAGATTATTCCAGGTAGAATAAGAGCCATCACTTTTAGCTGTTCTTAATGAACAGAATGTCTTGCTGTGATGTATTTTGTCTTGCTCAAAGCTGATTTGCAGTGACACTTTTGGGAGCAGTCTGAGCTGGCTGGTGCCAATTTGAGTAGTGAAATTTTATGAACTTCAGGAAATATTTTCATAAATGATTAAATTGTATATTTGAGCTGCAGAGATTTTGGTTGTTAAGAGAGGTGAATGATAGCCCTTTGTAGGGTCTTCTGATCTGATGATAGCTTACCCTTGAATGCTGAGTACAAAGGGAAGGATGCTTATCTCTGAATGTACTTAAGCAAGCAAGTACTTAGATATCAGCAAGACATCTGTGCTAAGCTTTCCTTTGAGCAGATTTCATACTGTTAGACACCCGTGTTTGGCTGTGTGTAGAAAAATAGTGGGCAGGACAATTTTTTTGTTAACTCTGAAGCGCTAGAACAAGAATGAATTCAAATACTTGTGCGTACATATCAAAATATGAAATATCTTTAACTTACATAACTGTATATGTATGTTGGTCTTTAAAACCACACTCAGTTGCCAGTGATTTGAATTCAGTTCTCGAAAGAGCAGCTTGTTCACATTGTTGGTGTGGGGAAGACTCCGTAGTCAAGACTTCTTCATTTATTAATGAGTTGACCCTCTTTTACCTTTCGTAGGATGGTGGTCATGACAGTAGAGTAAACTGTGTGAGATGGCATCAGGACAACTGCTGCTTGTATAGCTGTTCAGAGGACAAACACATTGTGGAATGGAATGCACAGACCTGCAAAGTAAAATGGTAAGTGATGCCAGTTTTCAGTCAAATTTGTTCACATTTGCGTTTGTGTATTTCCTCCTTCACAGATTTTAGTGAGGGCCTGTTGGAAATGCTGCACTCTGCTATCCAGGCTTCATGCCCACTGTACAAAATTGACAGGTGGCCATTATTTTTCTGAGATTGGAAGTGGTTTTGTTAAGGGATAGAAGAGTAACTCTCATAGTTGGGTTTCTTCCTCTGTGTATTGGAAAGACTAGATGAAATGAGTAACTGCGCTGAGAGGGATTTGGGTCCCTCCATGCTAACTTTTAGTGGGACGTGGGCTTCCAGTCACTTTCATGATGCTGAAAAAAAATCTAAATTCTAGAAAATATCCTGGGAAATATGAGGGAGCAGATGCTGGAACACCTCATCCCAGTTAAACTGGTTACGTGCACCCGGCTTTGCTCAAAGGGCCTTGCTATGATGATACCAAACTTGGTTTCGCTCACTACTGATGTGCAGTGGGGACAGTTCCACTTGGCTGTCTGAGCAGGCTGCTACTGTTTAAAGTACTGTTTAGCAAAATAGAGCTTAGTGCAGAGTAACTAGATGTCTGGTGTAGGCATTTAGTTTCTTTTGTAATGAAGTCAAACTGTTTTTAAACCTAAGAAGAAACCAAGATTTGTATTAATGATCCTGGTTATCTTACTTCAGTAAAAGCCTAGTGAGTGATGGCACCTTGACCCTTCTCTTATGCTGTTGGTTTTTTTTTTTTTGTAACATTTCCCGCTGTTGTGTTATTCTTACTGCAGCTCTACTGGTTTTGTTAAAGATGGTGTGGGGGCTGCAGACAGCCCATTGTCAGTAGCCTCTTCGATGTCCCTAGAAAGTAGATGCATCCTTAGGTTGTATTAAGTTGAGACCCTGACATAAAGTAGCAGAAGATGGCTGTAAAATCTCCCTCCAGCCTTCTCTTCTTAGGATTGAACACACCCAGTTCCCTCACCTTTTCCTCTTACATTACATGCTCTAGTCGCTAAGCCTTCTTGGTGGCCCTCCACTGGATTTACTCCACTGTGTCAGTGACTTTCTTGTACTTTCCCAAACTGGATGTAGTGCTCAGATGGACTTTCAAAAGTATTGCACAGAGGAGAGGAATCACTTTCCTTGACCTCCTTACCACACTCTAGCTAATACAAACCAGTATGCAGTTGACCTTATTGCTGCACGGACTCACTGCTAACTCTTGTTCAACTTGACTATGAGGACTGCAAGCTCCTTTTCTGCAAAGCTGTTTTCTAGCCATTTGCCCCCAGCCTGTACTGGAATTTTTCCATCCTCTGTGCAGGACTTTGTTTTCTTTTGAGCTTTGAGATTCTGACGGCCTGTTTCTCAAGCCTGCTGAGATGCCCCTGAGTAGCAGCCCTGCCCTCCAGCATATCAGCTACTCTCCCTAATTCGGTATTGAATGTGAACTTGTTATGTGTGCGTTCTATCCTGTGTTGAGGTCATTAATGAAGACTTCGGCAATTACTGAGGATGTTAAACAGTATTGAGAGCTCCTTAGGGAGTGACACCAGTAACTGGCCACCAGCTGGACTTCATACCAGTGATCACAACTGTTTGAGCTGAGTGATCCAGCCAGTTCTTATCCCTCCTTAGAGTCCATCCATTCAGTCTATATATCTCCAGTTTGTCTGCAAGGATACTATGTGAGACATTGTCAAAAGCATTGCTAAAGTCAAGTTAAATGGCATACACGGCTCTCCTCTCATCCACCAAGACAGTCGTCTCATTAAGAAGGCAATCAGGTTGGTTAGGCATGGTTTGCCATTTGTAAATCTATGCTGGCTGTTCCCAGTCACTTTTTTGACCTTTATGTGCATGGAAACAGCTTCCAGGTGGATTTGTTGTATAACCTTCCCTGTTGTTTCGTGGCTTTTCCTTCTTGTGGGTACGTTTTGTCTCCTTTTTTCTTTTCAAGTCATCAGAAATTTCTCCTGAGCTACATGGCCACTCAAAATGGTAGTGTGGTCTTGCAGTAACACTGGCCTCAGCACTTCTGGATGCATCCCGTTCAGTCTTAAGGAGTTGCATGTGTTGGATTTGCTGCTGTGATCCCTAATTTGATCTCCCTTTACTATGGGGAGTGCTTTGCTCCCTCCAACTCTGGCACTGGGTTTGGGAACATGGGAGGCCTGAGGGACTTTGCTCTTCAGTGCTTTGGCTTTTTCTATGTACTGAATGTGTCCCTACACCGTTCAGCAGCAGGCCCACGCTTTCCTCAGTCATGTCTTACTGTTGCTGATGTGTTGTATGTAGATGTCCTTTTGTTGGCCTTCATATTCCCTGCTGGTTTGAACACCAGCTGAGCTTTGGCTAATTCTGTCTCTGCATGCCTGGACAATATTTTTATATTCCTCTGTGTAACCTGTTCCCACTTTCACCTCCTCTATACTTCTTTTTTTGTGTTTTTGAGTTGAGTCAGGAGTTACCCACTTGGCCAAGTCAGCTTTCTGCAATACCTGGTGATTTTCTGCTCATTGGAATACCTGGTGATTTTCTGCTCATTGGAATGGACCATTCTTTTGCTTTGAGCTCTTGGAAGAGAAACCAGCTTTCCTGGGCCCCTTCGCCCTTCAGGGCACCCTCCAGTGGGATCCTGTCAATCAGTCCTCTGAATAAGTTGCAGTCTGCTCTTCTGAAGTCCAGGGTTGTCATTCTGCTGTTTATCTCGCTTGTTTTTCCTAAGGTCTTTAAATCCATTGTCCTGTGGTTGCTCTAGCTGGAGGTTGTCATCAACCATCACATTCCTCATCAGTTCTTCCTTTTTTTGAGTAGCTGACCCAGTAAAGCACCTTTCGTAATCTGGTTGTAAATCACTTGCATCAAGGAAAGGTCCTCAGCACTTGCCAGCCATCTCTGGGTCTACTTGTGCCCTCCGGTGCTGCCCTTCCAGCAGTTGCTGGGGTGGTTAAAGCCTCTTAGAAGAACCAGGGCATAAGATTATGAAGATTTATCTATTTCTTTTTAATCAGACAATCTGTAGCAGATGCCCACCACATGATCCTTGTTGGTCTCTACCTGTAAGTTCTCTACTGGCCCTTCGCCTGTTTCACAGGAAAGCTCCATGCATTCATGCTACCCTTTTGTGTGGAGAAACCTCTCTCCTTTTTGCCTTCCTGGCACGTCCTTGCTGATGTGCCTTCCTAAAGGTCCATTTATTGCAGCACTCCTGTCTTGCAAGCTATCCACTGTCTCTCTGTGATCCCAGTGAGATCAAAGCTCTGCAGCTGCCCACAGATATCTAATTCACCCCATTTGTGCGTGTGTGTTCAGGTACAGGCACTTGAGATGGGTCCCATGCTGCTTTCTTGGGAAATGTGAGAATTCTTCCTGTCATGCTTCATCTTGGGTATTTCCCTCTGCCCCTGTCCCATACTGCTGCTTTTTTGGGGGCTGTGGTTATAAAAGGTAATCAGAGGCCTTGTATTCTTTAATTTTGAAGATGGCAACAAGAAAATCATTCCTGGAGTGTATACATTAAAAGTACACCAGCAATATAATATCATGCTTTTTACCTGAATTTTTTCTCTGGTGATACTATGAGTCATACCTAAGGTAAATGACATTAGAAAGAGTAGAAGAAAACAACTCTCTAAAATTTTACCTGAATTGATGAGACTAGAAGGAACAAATTATCCACAATAATTGCTCATGCCCAATGTATATATGAGATTGCCTGCATTCTTTAACACTTGTCAGGACCTGGAAATGAACCCTAACGTATCCCACAGAGATTTCAGGATGGTTGCTCCTGGGGTAGAGAAGTGCTCAACTTCTTTTGATTTGCAGGCTTCTAGACATTTTCCTATAGAAGTACGGACTGCTAGATAAGGAATTGAAACCACGTGGGTTTAGGCTTGACTTTCTTAATTACCGTAGAAGTAGTCCATAGAACCGCTTGAGAAGGTCTGTGCAGCACACATTGAAACCTCTGGCAGAGGGACAAGCTGTTGGGGAAGAGAGAGTTTCTGAAGAGGCAAGGCAAGGTGTTGGAGAGAGGTAGTCTAAAACATTCTGGATGACTTCTTGTTTCTCTGGTTGTAGCTTTTTCATGTCTTAAATACTCTGAACACTCAGAGGCATTCTGTACATCTCCTTTTGCAGTTTCTTGTTTCATGATACCTGTTTAAAACTCTTTCCTGTAAAATTATATAAAGAGTATCCAAAATAAAAACTAATGGATTTTTGCTGTGCTTTATATTCTGCAGTCTTGTTTAGTGCATTTAAAAATGCCTTTTTGGGTTTAAACTATTAAATACTTTGAAATTCTTAGTCCTGACTTTCTCTTTGGAAGAGAAAACAAAATCTTGTCATACTCTCTGTAAGGTGTCATGTTGTTTGTCAAGTTTGTCGGCAGTAAAACTTTCAGCTTCTATGAAATCTAATAAAAAGTGATAACAGTAAATGAGCTCTGTTGTGGAAGACAGGAGAGGTGCTGCTTGGGCACGTGGAAGTTATTTGGAAGTACTTCCAGAGCAGCTGTTTACAATCAGAATGTGATGGGTTGCAGGGTACTTCCTATCTGTAAAGGGTTTGTGTTAATGCTTTCCTTGCACTTTTGTCCTGTGAGAAACATGTAGTACTCAGACTCCTTCAAAGCAGATGCAAGCTTTTCATGACAGGATTTTTTTTTTTTTATAAAATAGTGCTTTGAACCATAGATCTTTAAGGTGAAATTTATTATTGTCAGTGTCATTGACAGACTTGGGAGGAGGGCCAGGAACTGAATGGGCCTTGAAACTCTGAATTGTTGTGTTGAGAAGACCTTTTTGAATGGGTTAGTGTAAGCTTTTTGGATTATGGTGCAAAGGAAAGTCTTGGTATGGCTTCTCTTACCCTATTTTGAGTAGTAGAGAACTTTGAGAGAGGAATTCAGAACAGAATAGTTACGTTTTTGAGTTGCTGTATTTCTGTGTAAACTAATTTGAAGGAGAGGAGCAGAAACAGAATAGCTTTGACCTCATCTTTGACTACTTAAATTATTGTTTTTTTAATAATCTTTGCTTTAAATTTTCCAGTGTGGCTGATGTGGATTTTGAGATTATGCTAAATAATATTGTTTTTTCTATTTATTCATCTTTCTCCCTTTGTACAAAAACCCTCCATCCAAATTCTAGCAAGTGGAAAGGTGACAATAGCAGTGTCACCTCTCTATGCATCAGTCCAGATGGGAAAATGCTGCTGTCAGCCGGTAGAACTATAAAACTGTGGGACCTGGAGACCAAAGAAGTCTATAAAGTAAGTAACTTTGTAAAACGAGATGCAAAAAAATATCTTTCTTGATTGGTGACATTATGTATCTAGTATTTCCTGATAGGACATCTGAAAATTTCATTGGGTGTGAGGAGACAATTGGCAGTTTTGGGATTGCTGGAAGCTGTTGCTGTGATGATACCCTCAACTGTGGTTTCAACTTTCTGAGAGTTGAATGAGGACATTAAATTCCTTGGCTGTGTCTGAGCATGCTACCAGCACCCTTTCTCAAGCCTGTAGCAGAAAGATGGATGCTGTTCTTTTTCACTGGGTCCCTTACCCTTCTAGCAGGAGAACTCAGTTCACCGCAGTATTAGTTAACTGCCGGCATGGGTTTTTGCATGAACTCCCTGACTTTTATCATGAGTCCCTCCTTAAAGCCTTCAGGCTTCTTTGCTAAACTTGATGTAACTGGTGTCATTACCAGTTTTGCTGTTGAAACAGTTGGAAGGCATAGGAGCAAAACCCTCGTTGTTCCCTGAGCAGGGCTCAGGCATGAGCAAATTACCATGTTTTGGCTCTTCTGTAAATGCAGTCATGTGCTCTTGCCTGCTAGCAGATAGGACACAGCTAGCCTCTGAATCTCCTGGTACTTGCTGTCAGGTAAGTGTGTATACGTGTGCCATTACTGTGGACTTGCTGGTGCATGGCAACTACTGTGTATATCTGCATCCTATGATGAGCAAAACTACTATTTACAAAAGTAGATTGAAGAACCAATTTTTTTTTTTGGAGGCGGGGCGGGGGGTTGAATAGCCTTAGTGTGTCAGCAGATCTGTGCATTCATCTTACAGTTGAGAATGAAACTATGAATCTAGTTTCATTGTAAAAGTTGAAGTGTAAAATTGTGTGTGTCGGGGAAACCAAAAATGTGCTTTCCGACAGTAACAGCAGTACAGGTGGATGTGGTTTCTTTTGCATGGACTTGGTCCCAGTGAATTTGCCTTTGATTCCCCATTTAACTTGTAAAATTCCAATAAATATCTGGAGGGTCAGAAAAAGTTTCCTTGAAATACAGAAATGCAGGGAAGCTGATCACTAGTAAAAAAATCACTGAAATGTCCTTGTTGACTTAGTAACACTTGAATCTTTCTTAATGTTCTTTGTTAACTAATGTTTTAATTTTTGCCATATGACCGCTTATGGCAACCATTGAAAGATTCTTTTTTTTTTTTTTTTCTTTCAGCATTTCACAGGCCATGCTACATCAGTGTCATCATTAATGTTTACCACAGTGAAACCTATGAATGAAAATAAGCCCTTTGATGGAATTACAGGGCTTTATTTCTTGTCTGGAGCTATACATGACCGATTACTGAGTGTATGGTATGTAAGCTTTTCATAGTTTGTAACTTCGATTATGATCAGTATTGAGGATAGACTCAACAAGTATGTTCTGAACTCTGTGGTTAAACACAAGGTTAAGCAAAAGGGGCTCTGGAGAAATGCAGTGATGATCTCTTAAGTGGTGCTTTCAACTCGCTGATTGTTGAATGAAGATGAGAATTTCCTTGGCTGTGTCTGAGCATGCTTCCAGTTGCCATTTGACTCATTAATGTATGCCAAGAACATACTGTGTAATAGGCTTCTTTGTACTTACTGTAAGGTTTACACTAAGTTTTCTTGCTGAGTTGGGAGTTACTTTGCTCTTGAAATTCAGAACACTTTCTAAGCTGAAAGCTGAAATTAGAGCATGAGTATTTTTGGGTGGGGCAGATACTACCACAGTCGCTGACGATTTATAGGCTTTATAATGCTTTTCAGGTGCAGAGGGTGCTGTTTGTGCTATAGTAAATAGCGTGTACTGTTTGTGTCTTCCAGGCAGATCAGATCAGATAGGAAAGAAAAGAATGCTGTGATGTCTTTCACAGTAACAGATGAACCAACTTTTATTGACCTGACAGTATCAGAAGTCAAAGAAGAGGTAGGACCAATAGTTTGTAACCAAATATGTTCAACAATTTTCAATTGTCACATCAGTTTCCTTTTAAAAGTGTAAAGAAAGAAGCGTGGTTTGTATTTGGCTTCTGTTATGCAGAGATGAGATCTGAATGCCAATTCACGGGTGTAAGGATATTTATTATAGGTGCATTTATAAAGCTGATAGTTTGAAATCTCATTTTCAAAGCCACTTAGTGCAAATTCAGTATTTTCTTCAGAAAATTTGCTTGTGATGGCGGAAATGTCAGTTGTTTCCTATTTAGAACAAGTTAGTAATCAAAATTGTTTTTACAACTTGGCATCAAAACCCACAAAATTCTTTCTAAAAATGCAGTTTGGATATGGTCCTGTTTTTTCTGATCTCAAGTGGCTTTGGCAGCGTAACTGCTTTTTGAATTAACTAGCCTTTAATGAGTTAAAGTAGTGTTGTGTATTCCCCAAGTCTCTCAATTTCAGCAAGTACAAGTCTTTCAAAATAGTTGTCTTATGAAAAAAGTCTGCATGTGAAACGTATTCACAAACTGTTTCAGTAATTATTTAAAACTATTTTCTCCTGCTGCAGTTGTTAGATTCCTTTCTAAAAACAGTATTTCATGCTAAATTATCTAATGTTTCCAGTTGTGCCCTCTTACTTCATGTATTGGGGATGAGAGTATTCTGTAAAGTACGCCCGTCATCTAATTGCTCAGAGCACTCATCTCAGTTTCTTTCCTCCTAGCTTATTTACAGTGTCAGCGCCTTTGTAGACCTGTGCCTCTAGACATGTTGGGACATACGTTTGGAACATTGCTGCTTACAATCACATATGTGTGCTACTGTCCAAACTGTTCAAATTTGGATATATCAGTAGTGATACACTAAAGTACAGTTACGAGTTATCTTTTTGTCTCCTAATAGTTGTATTAAATGTTCCTGAGATGTTAGTGTCTTTGATCTTCCTTATGGATTTAGTTATATCTTTAATGTGTTTAGTTACTGAAAAAAGTCAAATTGTAACCATGCAACTGTCTCTTGATGTCCTGTACTTACGGCAGGTTTGTCCTTTGAGCTAATTAAAATCTTCTACTGTGCCTTCTTTCAGCCTGTGAAGTTAGCAGTTGTGTGCAGAGATGGACAGTTGCATTTATTTGAACATATCTTAAATGGGTAAGTTAGTATTCATCTTTAGGTTGTCTTTGGGAAAGGTCTGGGATTACCATAAGGCGAAGTTCAGTCTTGTCATGCTGTTGCCTTTAAGCTCTTGTATCTGTTCACAAACCAGGTTCCAGCTGGTTCTTTGTCTTGGGTTACTGGACACATTTTTGGAGAACTTACTTGCTGGGGGCTGTGCTGCACTTTGGTTTAAGTGTTGCTTTAGCCAAGATTTTATGTGTCTGTACTTCATCTTAGCCGTCTGTGAAAGGCGTAAACTATCTGAGTTTGCTGAGGACTTGCTAATGAAAGGTGCTTAGATGTGCAAGATACCGAAGTGTTTAAGCTAAACCTCTTGGAATTTTTTCATTCCGTTTTTTCAGTTACTGCAAAAAACCCTTAACATCAAACTGTACTATCCAGATAGCAACGCCTGGAGATGATGGGGACTCCACACCAAAACCAGTCCCTATTCTAGCAGCTGCGTTTTGCACAGACAAACAGTCTCTGCTGCTTGTGTATGGAAACACCTTACAGCCCATCATAGAGAAAGTGGTAAGTAAAACTTACTGGAGAAGTTTTGGGTTGTATAATATGGACTCCATACAGCTCTCAGTTGGAGGGATTGTTTTTTTTGTGTTTTTTTTGTTTGTTTCTTTGTTTGTTTGTCTGTTTGTTGTTTTTACTTTTTTGAAATTGTATAACAAGATAAAGCTTATTCCTTCCCCCTTTTCTGGGAGCTATGACTGTTGCCCCTGAGCTGTTTTGAAAGGTGATTTGTATTTTTCCATTCTTTCAACTAAAATACAATTTGACATCATTGCTGGCTGTTTCTTGCAATTTCAGCTGTTACTGAGTTAGGCCATTGAAACTGTTTTTAATACTGTTTCAGTTTACCTGTGTGAGTTTCTTTGGAGAGTATAGAGATCTGGTAACAAAAGGCAGATGTGCAAAGCAGCTGCTGTTCTAGAGTGAAAAAAAGTTCATTCTACTTTATACCTCTGGAATTTGTTCTCATCTTTCAGTAGTGTAATGAATCACAGGTGTGAATCTCAAATATATTAACTGGTTTTGTTCCTGTCCTTTTAGTCTTTGAACAGCACCGAATCCCACATATGTTTGATAAGGGACGTCCAGAAAGTGTTGTCACTTAAAACAGATGTTGCTGTAACAAAGGTGAGCTTTGTGTGAAATGTGATTTTGTTGCTCCTCTTGTTCTACTTCGGAACTGCTAGAATTCACTGCTCTCTTTTAAAATGAGGTCAGATTTCTGGATGGACCTGCTCTGAGCTGCAGTGGTAGCTGCAGATGTCCGTGGCACTCAGGCAGGCGTGTGTAAAGCGTGCTTCATGGCTGCTGTGTGTCCTAGTATGTTCTTGCACACAGTTACCCTCCTGTAGCTCGTAGCAAGTCCTGTTTTCAGCAGGTCTGCTTGATAGATAGGACTGGCTGATGGTTTCTTTTCTGCTTGAGATCAGTCCTTCCTCTAGAGTCTGTCAGTTTGTACAGCCTCTTTGACCCCGATGGTTTGGGGTGAAGTTGGGATGGCTTTGTTTTAGAGTCTAAATAAAATGTAATGGAGCCTTAAAAGGCATGTCCTTTTGGCTCTTTCTCGAGGTGGCCTTCACGTATTCCTGCTCACAGGGATATGGCACCTGGGAATGTGAGCTTGACACTTAGATGGCAACAGTGTCCACTGAGGCCACTTGCCACCGTTCTCTCTCATGCAGGATCCCCTGGGGGTTTAGAGGCAGGCCATGAAGTTCTTAATCAGTGTCCGTATTCAAGGCCTTGAAGATTTGAAACGCTTGCAGTATCAGTGAAGTGAGCAGGCAGTGCTATTTTTGTAACCCTCAAGTTACCTACTGGATCTGGTGCTCCATCAGCCACGCGAGGTTTTGTGCTGATTCCTCGGTCCTGGAGGTGGTGGGTAGCAGAGCTGAAATGCAGTGAGAGGCGTAGGAACTCCCTGGCATGCAGTGATGATGCCCATCTTGGTTTCGCTTTTTGCTGAATTCCAGTGAAGACGCATTTCTCTTGGCTGTCTGAGCATGCCTTGTGGGGAGAAGGTCAGTGGTTAGTGTGGTGAGCAAAGGGGGTAGTATTTTAACACCATTGCTGTTCTACAGTAAAATTCTTGAGCTGCAAAATCATTTTTTTTTTTTTTTAACTTTTACACAGAGCATATCACTGTAGTAGATAAGATTTGTATCACTTCAGTGGGCACCCAGCAGGGCTCCCACAGGTACAGAAGTTTGAGCAGGTACTTGAAAAAAAGGCCTGCGCAGAAGCGCTGTGGTTAAGGAAGTGTTCTGGAAGTAGCAGGTAGCATGCTTGATATTCTGAAAGTGGCATACTCCCTTACATCCTCTGTGGGTCAGGGGAGCGCTTGGTTATTAAATATATTGCCTTTAAAATTCTGTCTCCTTTATGTTCATTGAAGATGGATACCGTAGCTTGTTCTGTGTAACCTAAGGTTGCTCTGTTTGTCATCGTGATCATAGTCTAATTCAGACTACTGAGTTCTGCGTCTGAGCAATCACTAGAAGAAAATCGGTGGGATTGAAGTGAATAGTTACTACCTTTTACTGTTACATTGTGCTGCTGTTGGTGATCAGTTCTTACCTTCCAGTGAAAGCTGAATTAATCTGCATGTGGTTTATGGGCCTGACTATTACTATGCGTGGTATCTATTCCTAGCAAACATCCGAATATTTGTTGTTGGATACAAACACTTAGTTTGATGAGCATTACAGAATAAGCTTGTAAGAAAAATGATTCACAAGTGATTCCAAAGAGACCATTGCTTTAGTTAATTATGAAAACTAGCTGACTGTTGCTTGAGGTTATTAATTGCTCTTAAAAATGTAGGATTTTCCTAGTATGTATGTCAAGAAAATGGGTTGTGGCAAGCTGGTTTTACCGTGTATGTAAGAGTCTTGGAATAAAATCAGTGTTTTAAATTGGAGGAAAGCTCAAGATATTAGCAATTCGTACAAATGTGGTTATCTCTGTCTACTAGGTAAAGACGCCTGTTGTGAACTTGGACACCAAAGTTCTAGTGCCTGGCATTCCGGGACATAGTACAGCTGTCAAAACTCCATCCTCGGGAAAGGAGAAAAAGAAAAACAAGAGGAAACCGGGAGAGACAGAGGTAAAGTGCTTCCTCTTTTAAACGCAGCAGTAATGGAGAAGCTAGAATCATAAATCATCGTCGTAACTTCTTTAGGTGAACTTGAACTTGCTTTGTTTGGTGTGGAGGCAAGGTTAATGATATCATCTTTTTGTATGAAAGACTTCCCCCTGCTCAAAACCTTTCCCTCACTCAAGCCCTCTGTGCCTTGCCCGTAGTTTTGCCATGTTTGTGCAGAACTTTGTCACATGCTTGTGTCTGTCTCTCTGTGCTAAGGTATATTACTGCTTTTCAGTCAAAACTTCTTTTCTCAGGCTATTCTCTGTCAGTACATTTAAAAGAATATGCAAAATTTGTGTTCTTTTCCAGCAGAATCAGAGGGAATGCTGTAGGTTAGGTACTTCGCTTTCAGCTGTTTTTGAGAAATTGCACTGAAACAACACCGCCTTTGTTTACCCTCTGCAGGAAAGCATTGAAGAGCGCCTAGAGGCACTGGATATTGATGTGAGCAAAGTAAAAACTCCAGGTGGCCTTCCACAAACAGATAGCTTTGCAGTGCTTTTGGTTCAGGGCTTGGAAAGCAACGATGCAGAAATCTTAAATGTAAGTGTTAAAAGATCATTGTATGCTGTTTGATCTATACACTGAGACTTGTGGGGAGCCTTCCTGAAAGCCGGGGAGGCTGAACAGTCAGGAACCTGTTGTTTCTCCCAGCTGCTTTTTGCCGATTTGCCGCTCAAGGCAGCGGTGTTATAAATGGCAGTAGCAGCATTACTTTCTTGTTGTTATCTACCTTCCTTTCTGAGTCAGTCTGTGAACTTTGAGGCACTTCTGTTTATGATAAGTTTTTTATGTCACAGTTCAGATGTTTTACAAGCAATGTTACTAATGCAGCTGTCTTCCCTTTAGCTTGAGTTGGAGCATAACCTGTGCTTAGTCTCCTGAGTGTACAGTTCCAAGTAGATACTGTTTGAAAAATGCATTGATGACAACAGTTTCACTTGAAAAGCTTACTGTTGCGTTTGGACTAGGGGGACATAATAGTTCTGGGGCAGGGAAATGAAACCTTAAGAATTTGATGCTGAATAGGAATTACTTGTCACATACTGGTGAAAGACATTTTTTTACAGAAGTCAAGCACAGAAAATTGCAAGGGAAATTTTAATGTGCCTGTGATGCTTCATTTCTAACATGCGGTGGGTGGGCCACAGGCAATGCTAGATTGTTTTAGATGGGTTAATCAAGTATCTTATCTTGTTAATTGTAGCTGACTTGAAAAATGGAACTCCTTTTCATAGTAAATCTTCTTTTACTTATCGTCTTCATCTTAGCATACAAAGGTAGTGGAGTAGAAAAAGAGATTTAAAGCCAGGAATTTTTGATTGTGTTCATTGCTCATACACAGGTTAAAACTGAATGATTCTCTAATCATATTTTTCCATTTTAACAGAGAGTGCTTAATACAAGAAAGGAAAATGTAATAAAGAACACAGTAGCCAGAATGCCTATACATGCTGTCATTCCACTGCTGCATGAGGTAGGAGAGACTGTGTTTCTTGTACTGTCATACAAGCCACATTTGGTTTGCGTTCTAGCTGGGGAAAACCCAGGATGTGTCTCTATTTTTACCAATGAAATTGGTTTGGTAGTTTTACAGGACAGAAGTTGTTCTTAATTTATCTCTGATATGCTCTTATCTTCTCTGGCTGAAGCTTAACCACAGGACAAAGTGCCACTGTCAAAGCTAGGAAGAGCATTAGATCATGTAATATTATCTGAAATGATTATGTGGGAAAAAGAAAGGGAAGAGGTTAAGCTAAAGCTTGTTTAGTCCAATGGCAAACAATTACCATTACGTCTTCTTTTCAACTATTAAAATAATGATCATTTGAAACACAAAAATAGCAGTGCTAGCCAGAGCAAGTTGTAGGAGCATAAATATGATAGATACTCATATGAGAGAAAGAAAAATAGAATACGTACTTACAGCAGTGAGTTTAAATAGCACTTGGAAATTGCGGGGCAATTTCTTTCCTCTTTTGAAGATAGCTCAGAAGCCCAGTTGCTATATTTAAGCTTTGCAACATCACTTAGTAATAATTTTAAAAGGGATTTGGCTTCTGAACTGCTTATTCAGTGGCATTAAATAAAATCTGGTTTTGGACAGAAATATTTTAATCGTCAGCCTTATCTAGACATTACTTTGCTTAAACTGAACATTGATTAGTTGGTTTTGTTGTGTGAGTGACGTTATAACATAAGTTAATGGTAGATTTCTCTTGTATTTTCATGCGCTGGCCACAAGTAAGATGTAATTTTTGCTTGTACTAACCTTAACTGAATTACGCAGATGGCCTGGTTTTGAAAGTTTAGACTTCCCTTTAAGCATGTGTCGTGACACCTCCTTAGACTTACGTTAATGAGGTGCAGCGTTTCTTTTCTAGGACCTTTGTCAGAGAATCTAAGTGCAAGTGTTTAACTATGTAATCGCAGTGGATGGACAGATCTTCATGTAACTGTCTTCTCCAGAGCTTGAGATTTGTTCTGTGAAATAGCATTTACCTGATACTACCTTCACTTGTTTCCCCAACTTGTCCGCCTTGTAACAGCTGCTCTACACAGAGACATACAAAATACGAATTTCCTTCTACTTATTCCTGCCAGCTTGAAGTTTCACTGGATATATTGCCTGTTAAGGTTCCAGTTTTATTGTAATAATGAAGCTCAGCTTCTGCAAGTTACCCACCTGCATATAGGATGGTAGAGCCAGCAATGTAACATTCTGGAGCCTGGCAATGGTTAATCCTAGCAAACTTCCAATGCCTGGAGATCTTTCTGCCTTGGTATTGGGGCTGTCACATGGATGTAATGTTGGATTTTTAAACTCATTATGTGTTTGATAATTATTTCTGTCAATTTTTGTCCTTTTAGCTTACGAAGAGATTGCAGGGCAACCCATACAGGTAAGAGACAATTCAACTACAGTTTAATTCACCTGAAACTTTTCTAGTCTGCGCGTTATGGTCCCTCCCTCCACCTACGTGACTGATTTCCATAGTAACTGTAATTAAACTGCAGCATCTTGAGGGAAAAATCCTCACCTGATTGTGGGTGCAAAGAGGAACTTTTATTAAGGCAGTGCTTTGTCAGGATGGCTGAAGTGAAGTTAAGAAGGGAAAAGGATGCCTGAAATAAGCATATAATCCTGAGAAAGTATCTGAATTCCCAGAATATCAACGCTGCGGACCTGATCAATATGTAAAATAAAATAAGTATCAGATATATATCTTGTTCGGTTTAATTATCAAATAGATTTTTATATATTTGTTGTTGTGTTTAGTTAATAACAAAACCAGCTCTTCCTGCCCCCGCCACCCCCCTCCCCCAAATCTTGTTATATTGGTATAAGGATAGCATTGCTGAGACTAGCTGTCCTTAGTTGTGGTGTTTGTCTGTTTTTTTTTTTTTTTCTTTAAATAAAAATTCCCTCATTGTAGGTGGAGAAAGAAGTAGCATGCTTTGCTCTTTTATTCATTGAAACCTCCCGTAAAAGATGTCAGAAACAGAGACCCCTGAATATGTCTAGTTTTAATCCCTCACTTAAATGTCTGTTCTTTTTCTAACAAATAACTTAGAGGTGTCTCATGTGGATAGCCAAACTGTTATATTTCCATCTGCATTTATCTTTTTATATAATGAAAGAGGAGCACTTTCTATAGATCTGCTTAGCATCTAGAATGTGAAATGGGTGTTTCTCAGCCAGTATCTCTTTGATATAACTTATTTTTCTTTTCCAGTGCCTCACTAATGGTTCGATGGCTGAAGTCTGTTTTTACTCTACATGCATCCTACCTTTCCACAGTAAGTATCTTGCATTAATGCTAATGCACGTAATTAAAACTAGATTTAAATGCTTAAATACCTGTATGTTCTTCCTTCAGGAATCTTCCTCCTGCTCTCCACGTATGGCAGTGCCCAAATCAATGTACAGAGGGCTATACTTCTGCCACTTTTGCCAAATTGCTGCACAGTGGCTATAAATTGTTTTTCTTAGTCATTCATGACATAATTACAGTCATCCCAAAGTCAAACCAAGATAAGTTATGTCACACCTGTGAGAGCTGGGGAACAAAATTACTGACAAAGAGTAATCTAGCCTGTGTCGCTAAATCTTATAGAACTAAATTTGCCTTGCTGTTGTAATGCTCATTTTGAGGCTGTCTTGGACGTGGCTAGATTTATAGGGTAAAGGTGTGCCAAAGTTGGCGGCAGGGTAGTAAGTAATGTAGTAGCTTCTGGGTTGAAGTCCAGCCTTGCCTTACAAGTGATGGATAAAGCACTCTTGCTCAGTTAAGAAAAAGGCATTTTGGCACTATTAGTCCTTTCTCCCATTTGTTATAGGATTGCTGTGTGTCAGAACTTGCACACGTTGCCGAGGCTGCATTCATACACTGGTATATATTCAGCTCCCATTAACACAGCTTTCCACGTAGTGCTTCGACACCCGCTTACGGCAGTGACTGTGGAAAGGAAAAGTAGTATAAGAATTGCCATGTCTTGAAATAAATGTGTTTCTAAACACAGCTAAATGTTAATTGATCAGGCTGCAGGTGGTTTCTGTGAACCCTCAGCTCTCCCTTCTGTCTAGAATAACATGAGCAAGGATTGCTTGCCCCAGATGTACAAAGGTAGTTTAAAAATAAGACGTTTGGGATGTGTTGGTCAACAGCTTCATTTTTCTTCATCCTTCTCTTCTCCCAAGTTGCCAGACCTTATTCCTCAGCTGGGAATGCTATACCAGTTAATGGAGAGCAGAGTAAAAACTTTGCAAAAGCTTTCCCGTCTGCATGGAAGACTCTTCATTCTTGTCACCCAGGTGAGTTCCAAATAAATAACATGGGATGTGTAGAAGAAGCATTGTTTGCAGACTTAACCTCCTGTCGTGATTACATCTGATGGGACCTGACATCGGGAACTTAATAGAGCTGCTGCATAGCTACGCTGATAACACTCGAATCAGTACACTTAATTGACTATCTAGTCAGTCTGTGCTCACGGGAAGTGTTCCACACTTTTTCCTGCCAAATGTGTCTACTGACCCGTAGAGTTTTAAAGGGGATTAAATAGGAGGTACTGGGCCACTTCAGAGCAGATGCCTCTAAAATTTTACTTTGTCCTTTGTACTTGCTTGGCTGTTAAGCTGCTACTATAAATGAATTAATCTGTGTTAAACTTGATGTAGACTTCATTTACCTTGTTACGAGTTTTGCTGACTTTTAAGACTGGAATATATGATTGCACCTAAGGCTAATCTGCAAATTCCTTTCAGGTTGCGGCATCAGAAACAGTTCAGGATGTAACTGAGGTTAATCAGACTGCAAAGCTGGTATATGAGGATGGTACGTGTTGTGTGCTAGGTGTAGCTCAGCTCCTGAATTCACGTGACAGCCAATACTTGATGGCTGTTCATCATGTTCCTATGCTTATCTATTAGTGTACAATCTGCAAGTAGAGAGTTTTTGTGGGAAGTGCGTGGCAGGAAGGTTGGTGGTTAATGATGCGGGCATCTTGTAGTTGGTTCTTCCTTCCTTCCTTCCTTCCTTCCCTCCCCTCCTTTTATTTCCTTTCATTCCCTCCCGCCGCTGCTTCACAAATTAAGAAATCAGTTAATTGGAAGTTCAGTATGCTGCTTAACCTAACTGGCAGTCTCAGAATTCTAGTGTTAGCTGCCCTTCTGCTGAGGTAGATACAGTCAAGGCACTGTTACGTTTGAGTCAGCAGGATGTCAAGGTAGTGGATGTCAGTGTATGTGCATGTACACTTCCAATTTGGCCTTTTTTATCTACTGCAACTTCATACTGCATAATCATAACGGAAGTTACTCATTCATGTTGAAAGTCCTAATTCATGTTGATCAACCTAATCTTCAGGTAGAATTAGTTTGGAATGGAAACAGCACAGTTTGGAGACTTAGCAGCATGTGGGGCTGGGCTTTGTTTGCACAATGACATTTTAAAGTCTGTTCTCCAGACTGAGGGATTGTTTTCTCTTTGCAGAATCCTCAGAGGAGGAAGGCTCAGATGATGAGATGATTGCAGATAAGGACTCTGATGTAAGTGGAGTTGGATCAGATCTTCTCCCGTTTGCTTTTAACAGAAATTGTGTGACTGTCAAAGGTTCAAACATTCCTGTTTATTTTTTTCCCCAGGAAAACTGGGATGAAGACGAAGAAAAAGAGGAGCAATCTGATGAACAAGACATGACTGTTGAAAAGGAAATCAATGGCGATTCTGATTTGGAACCAGAAAATGAAAGCGAAGAAGAATAACGGCACGAAAGAATAATTCTAACAATTGAAACAAGTGGGCCACCAAACTGTAATTCTGGATCATCTTGCTGAAAGATGCTGTATCTGCACATAGGGAGTGCAGACTCATGCACAGCCTGTGTGCAGAGGCACAGGTGGGGCACTGTGCATTTCCGAATCCAGAATGTTTAACCATGCCAGCCTTCTCTCGCCCTATTTCCCTGCGCTTACTTATAGAAACATTTCTTCCACCTCATGGTCGGATTATGCCTGTCATGTGGACATGCATTTGTATCTCAAGTGAAATAAATCTGCCACCGCTGTTTGTGTGGTAAACTTGGTTCAGCTTTACATTGAATTTGTTTCAAATATTCAAGGATCAAAGACAACCGGTCTATACCTTCTTTCCCTGCTTCAGTTAGCAATAGCAAGTGGGCATCCTGCTGCGTTTTTAAAAAAAAAAAAAAACCAAAACAAAACAGAAAAAAGAAAAAAAAAAGATATTTTTGTAATATTTAAATTCTCTACTGAATTTCTTTTCTCCCCCCCGCCCCATCCTCCATTGGTTTAGCCATGCCTTGGCAATATCTAAATGCCAACCTGACTTAAAAATGGCTTTTTCTTTTTTTAACAAATTTGAACTCAAGACTTTTCTATGTATAAATCAATTACTTTTCTTGTGCTTCAAAAGGACATTAGAAGTATCACTGGCTCCTAATTTTGTTTTAATGGAGGCTGTATATAAGTTTAATGCTAACCCAGAGGATAGACTGTGTTGAATTGGGTGGGGAGAGGGGAGTAGCAGGGAAATGAGAAGGTGAATGCTTGTGAATACATAGCGCACAGCTATACCTTTATTACGGATTTTTAATCTTTCAGTGGCAGAACAAGGACAGCTATTTGCTCAGCTAATGGAAGCTGAAGTGGTGCAAACACATTTTTAAGAGCAAAACAAGGTAAAGGTTTGAGCCATTCACCACTATAATGTACAATAATATATTTGTCTATAAATGGAGCTGTTGCAACTAAATACCGCCCTCTTTGTAAAGTGAATAAATATACATCTCCTTTACCAAATACCTGTCCTGTGGTGTTTATTGAGAGAGACCTTAGGTAGCTAAGGGTGGTGGTTAAGGGTGAAATGCTGTTTGTAAAAAGCAGATTTCTAGTGGAGGAGGAAGCGAACCTAAAAGGTGACAGTGTTCTGCAAAGCATCTGTTGTTATCGATTTCTTTGCTCCATGCGTTTCAGTTGTATCTGTTGGTTTGTCCACTGCTCGGAGACTGCATTGGGGTCGCAGCCTTGTCTGGAGGCATTAGGGGATTGTGTCACTGACAAAGCTGGAAGAGACGTGTTCTGTCTTTGGAGAGCTGGAGGTAGAAGGGCAGCAGCTGGAGGTTTCCGGTCTTTGGAGGGGGTTTTAACTGACAGTAAATTAGTGTCTTAGTAATTTGTAAAGCTGGGCTTTTACATCATTTCTGAGATGCTGTGAAAATAAATGCCAACGCTTGTGCACTGTCTGTACTTGCACAAGCCACCAAATTAGGCTGAACTGATGTACAAGTTTTTAACCAGTACTGATGTTACTATATGCAGGCAGGCTTCAAATTGGACAAGAGAGGGATGTGAATGAAGGTCTGTTGCATCTCAGGTGAGTGCTGTTCTGCTGAGCTTTTGGGGCATGGAGTAACACAAGGAGCAGCTGTGTATTTGGTTGGGCAAGGTCCTCCAGGTACTTGTGTCCCAGGCTTTCCAGAAGTCCAAGCAGGAGCCCTGGTCTGGGGTCAGAGCAGGCTGAGTACCTCGCTGGCACTGTTTGGGTATGGGGAGTGGTGGCACTGGAAACTTGGCACCACTCCCCGTTGCACCTGTAAGGTAGGCGTTCCCTGTGTCTGTCCTGTCAGTGCACCAGAAACCTGTTGCAGGAGTGGAGCTGTGGGAGAACCTGGCAGCAGCAAGAGGAGGGGGATTTCAAAAACACTTTGTTCGTTCCTTGAGCTCACCGACACTGAGATTCTGTGAATCTGTTTCAGTATCGGGCAGCAAGCTGGTAGCAGGGGTACGAGTTCTGGTCTACTCTGGTGTTAGGAGAGCCGGGTAACACTGTCCTCTGAGCCCTCTGCCTGTATCATCTTCAAGCAGCTGTTCTGTGTGAAACCATTCGGGCATGGCAGCTGCAAGCAGTTGGGCTGGTTGTTCCAAAAGTGTCCCTCCCCTTAGGGCTGATAACTGACAGTTCTGTGCACTTTCTAATCCTTACAACTATTTATCTGCAAGGCCAAGGTCTCAGTCAGCTGATGAACTAAGCTGTTTGTGTCTTCATCTTTCAGAGACACAGCATCGTCTGGAGAAAGAGGCTGGAAATGGGGTAGGTCCTCCTTTGCAGCCGTCATCCTGGTAGTTTTGGAGCAAGAGAGTAAGGAGGACGGCGTAGCTACTCACTCGGAGCAGCGGAGGCTGGATGAGGGCTTGTGTCAAGAGCCCCAAGGTGTGTCCAGAGCAAGCCTCTGTGGTTAAGCAGTCAACAAATCAATGGGGTGGAAACTCTGAGGCGTACTTTTGTTTTTATTTGCCTAACTCGTATTGTGTCCCATGTATAGGTGTGTATTTAACGCTTGTCCAGGTACCACTGCACAGTGTAAGGGATTTTTGTTTGCTGTTTTTCATGTGGTGGAGGCCTTATGTCCAGGCTATGGAAGTGAATAAACTTTGAATGCGATAAGGAGCAATACCAGAGATGGCCAGGGGGTGTCACGCCAGCTCCACAAAAATTCCTTGGAGTACCGGGCCGCAAGAGCAACCTGTGACTTGTGCCTTTGAGGATGGCACAGTCGCACTGTTGCCAAATGCATCCTGCTGTAAGACGGTGTGGCTCACATCCTCGCCTCTTGTTGTGCTCCTGCTTGCAAAAGGACTTGGTACTACACCAGCACTTGTTGCAAGAGGTGCTTGTTGCCTCCTTTGCTAAATATTTCAGTGTTTCATCTGAATCTCGGAAGTTTGGTAGGGGAATAAGAGCTGCCCGTGTGGGATGTGCACCTGTGTCTGTCAAAGGTTCTGCTGTGTAAGTATGGATGTGGAGTATGGATGTTTTGCTTTTGGTCTCCCTGCATGCTGTGGGAAGTGATTTAATTGGTTTTAAAAAAACAAAACTTTTTTTGGCTCATCCTTTAAGTTGCTTTTGCTAATGGCTTCTCTGTCCCAAAATAACTTATCTCAATGACATTGGTTAAGAAGAAGCAAGCAAAATCAAAACATGCTGTTGGAGACAGGGTAGAAGAGGAGCTGGGGTTATTTAATCTGGAGAAGAGGAGGCTGAGGGGAGACCTTATCGCTCTCTACAACTACCTGAAAGGGGGTTGTAGCAAGGTGGGGGTCAGTCTGTTCTCCCAAGTAACAAGCAACAGAACGAGAGGAAACGGCCTCAGGCTGCGCCAGGGGAGGTTTAGGTTGGCTATGAGGAAAAAATTCTTCACTGAAAGGGCAGTCAGGCACTGGCAGAGGCTGCCCAGGGAAGGGGTTGAGTCCCTGTCCCTGGAGGTATTTAAAAGACGGACAGACGTGGTGCTTAAGGACATGGCTTAGTGGTGGACTTGGCAGTGCTGGGTTAACGGTTGGACTCGATGATCTTGAAGGTCTTTTCCAACCTTAACGATTCTATGACTCTCTGATTCTCTAAGAGGAGGAGGGCGTGGAAGGGGAGAAAAGAAGGAAAGATTTAGGATGCACAACCAGTTCTTAGAAAATTCCTGATTACTGGGAACATCAGCAAGTAGACATTTGAAAACTGCACGTGAAAATTACAGAGGTGACATATAGTTTGATAGCCAAGTTGTAGTTTAGGCCATCTTACGATGACACAAGGGCTTGGTACTGTATTCGCCCTTCTTTGTGGGGGGGAACTGGCTGGTGATAAGGAAAACTCACTCTGGGCACAGTTTTGCCCTTTGCCCCTTTAGCCTGTGCATAAACCAAGATTAAGTCTCCTAGAAACTCACCTGTGGCCTTTGGGATGTTGGTTCCCTGCTCCCTGGAAGGAGGGGGCTGGAGAGAGGTGACTCTGGCAAACACTCTGTTTCCTTGCAGGTGTGCCCAAACTCACAGCTGTGGGACCTCGATGAACCACCCAGGAGACTCTCCGTTTCCCCGGTTTGTAGGAAAGCCAGATATTTTGTGAGTTAATTTATGGTGGGTGGCTTAAAACATCAGTTTTGCTTTAGAGAGCAGTATGATTGATCCCAGAAGGAAAAATTATTCCTACATCTCCAGTCTGCTAAAAGCGGGTGACTCCTACTTCAGCTGGTTGCCAGGTGGCCATACCCTTCCAGTTTGGGATTGAGTTTGGGATCAGTCTCGCCATATCTCTCCCAGCATGTAGGTCCCTAAGCTCTCTAACTGGGTGTGCGCAGCATCTGGAGGCACTGGGAGGGCGGCTGGAGCTGTGGTTTGGAGGCGATCTTCTCAAGCAGGTAGCGTGTAATATTCAGTTATGGTGTCTGGATGCCTCAGCTCTAATGTTGTGACAGCTGTCGTGTTTTTCAGCTCATTTAGACATCTATAAGGGCTTGTTCTGAACTGGAGAGAGAGAGAGATCCGCTTCCTGTTGGGGTTGCAGAAATAACGTGTGGGAAGTCACTGCGCTCGAGCAGAGGAGATGACTTGCTAAAACGTGTGTGGTTGTTGCCAGCATGATTGTTTTTGACTGAACTGCTGCCTAAAACATAGTCTCTTTTTTGGATCTTTTCTTCAAAACTACCTTATACCCAGCCCTTGCAAAATCAAGAAGATCGTAAAGAAAATCCTGCTTGGAAGACAGCCTGGGCCTCTGCATGAGGAAAATTTTGTCCAAGTGCCTTCATCTCTGCTTCTGTTTTGGCAGCAAGATAAAAAAATTGCTCAGCAAGGAGGTATGAGAGATAAATAAGATTTGTGTGAGTGAATCTCACGTTACCTAGGAGGGGAAGTGAAGTCATGGTCAGACCTGGAGCCTATCCAAAGCTCTTCTAATCATGGAGATGGGGTTAACTAGGTTATTTAAAATACCTTGGCTCAGTAATGAGCACTCTAAGTTATTTAGGAATAACTTAAGGACTTAATGGTGCATTTTGTCCTTGAGAAGAAAATATTTCCTTTAAGCTCCATGGGGGCTTGGAGGGGAGGGCGTTGTCTCTAGGTTCCTCCCACGACGGTTACTGCACACACAAGCTTAGGACCCCCTTGATCTCTGCATCCATGAATTGGAGGACTGTTTGCTTCCGTCAAGGTCAGAGAGCACTTGTCTGTTGGTTGTTTTAGTGACTTCCCAAAGCCCCTGCAACAAAACAGTCCACAGTATTTTGGTGCCTGATGGCACATTTCAGAAGGAGCGGGCTTGTGCGTTTGTCGTGCTCTTTCGCCCATAGTAAACTCATTCTTTATATTCAGCTGTTGGCCGACGGGGGGCAATAAATGATTTATAACCAAGGCAACAGTTGCTGTGGGAAACTGGCATCAACAAGAATCTTTTTCATGTCCACATCAATGAAAGTATTAAAAAAATCTTCCCACTCTGAATCGGGCGAGACCATTTGTGACACTTCCCAAAAAGGTGGCGTAGGTAAGTCAGATTGAAGTGATATCACACAGACTG